AAGCGGCTTGCCCCAGCCAGGAACACTGATCCCCTGGAACTTCTCCATTTGATTCTCAAGCTCCTTCACTATGGGGTCACTTGGCTAAGGAGAGCATCAGCAACACTGAGGCTCTCAGAAGGCTCAAGGCAAGGCTTGAGGACCATCAAGATCTGAGAGATGGTATCTCACTCTGTTTTGTTAAGGGGGCCACTGGTCCCAATCTCGCCGACCGAGGCCATCTCATACATGGCCTTCTGTTGCTTGGCCAGACTTTTCCAACATCAGGTATGTGGAGTTCCACCGAGTCTCCACAACCTGTATGATTTTGTGCTGTGGGATGCTCAGCTCTGCCTGTTTGTCCCACAGCACCTTGCCCCCCTTGATGCTCCGGTGGAAGTAGCCCACCACCTTCCTGCATTTTTAAATGAGCTGGCTGGTAGTGGTAGCGACGATGCCATCACTGGGAGTCCTGTCCCCCTCCAAGGCATCCCTAACTATGAGGTGGAACTTGTGTGCCACCCAGTGGATGCCAACACACCGCCTTGACCGTATTGGCCCTGTTGTTGGTGACCATAACCCCATGGATGGACTCACCCTGCCCAACGAGCCACCCCTGCACCATGTGGTTCATGGCCACCATGATCTCCCTTGCCGTGTGGGACTCATCCATCACCTCCGCTTGAAGAAGAGCCCACTGACGCCCTGACTGATCACACCAGTGCCCTGTGAGGGAGAGGTAAGCGTGATCTCCATCCTGGCTGCTCCAGATTTCCAAGGTGAAGTGTAAAGCTACCTGCGGCCCTGCCTTGTGCAGCTCCCCCCTCAAGTATTCCCTGCATGCCTCATACAGGGAGGATACCACTGTCCTGCTAAAGGTGGTGCATGCGGGAACTTGGTATGATGGGGCCATGAGTGCCATGAGCTGCCTGAACCCTGAACAGTCAACAAAAGAGAAGGGCTGGCCATCCAGAGCAAGCATCTCCCCAATGTCTTGGGTGACCTTGCTCACTTTGGGAGTGAACCCCGCTTTGTCTCCACCTTTTCCCCACTGGTTCAGGGTGGCCTGCCTCTGCTTCTTGTGGACGGAGGCTTTGGAGTGAGAGGGGAATTTTGGGGGGGCATACTCCTACTGATGTCAGGCTGAGGAGGAACAAGGGCAAGGGGGTGTTGCCTCCCGAGATGCAGCAGCATTGCTGTGGCGGTGAAATGTTTCATCCTTGCCCCAGCTGATCTGCTTTCAGCACTGCTGGCAGGTAGCATACCTGGGATCATCTGCCAACCCTAATGATCCCATACTACACTACCCACCTGCTTCTGGGTTGTGGGTAGGGATCCTGCCTTATCCCCCTGCTCACCAGGAGGAGCTCAGTCACCTGCCCCCACAACCTCCTCCGAAATGCCTTCCAAAAGAGACCTGCCTCTAGGGGAATTTTGAGGGGTGTGCAGCACAAACTCAGATTCCCCCTCCTTCCTCAGAATTTCCTTTGCTATGGCACTCAGCTCCACTGCTTCCAGATCCGGCTCCTCTTCTAGCACTGAAAAACTCACACTGGGAACTGAAATTGGGGTGGAGACTGTCATGCTGCTGCTGGTGGTTATTGCCAGTGTTAGTGAAGGTGGTGCAAGTGCAGATACAGCTCCCACCTCCTTGCTCCCACTAGCAGCAGACTTTTCTTTTGCTGCCAGGATAGATTTGTCTATGGTGGGGGGGAGGGACTTGCAGCTCTCCCTCTGCCCCCTGTTCCTCCCCTGCCTGAAGATCTGGCACCTGCCGTTCCAGCACGCTTCATAATGCTTAGTGTGCTGCAAAATATGTATGTGTCTGTAATATATGTTGTTCTTTCCTGCAGTGCACAGTGATGACACACTGTCAGGGAAAACACAGAAGGAGAGAGAGTGGCTAGCTAGTAGCTACCAAGATACTAGATAGCAAGCCAGAACCTTTCAGACACTGCTAATCCAAGAGAGACAGCTCACGAGAGGCACAGATCACTTCACACACAGCCTTATATGTTGCTTCTACATCCCTCCTCCAGAGCACTGTGATTGGAAGAGAACTCAGGTAAAGATCATGGTCACTGGCCAGCTACAGATGTCAATATCAGAGCAGTCTTCCTCCCCCTCTCTCTTCTAGGTTTCTGTTTCCCACATGTCTGCCTTCTGACAGAATATTTTCAGAATAAATTTGGAGGTTTCTGAATCAATTTGGACCTTTTAATAGGTCTCCTGATTTCATTCAGATTTGGCGATTCAGTTACCGAATTGAGCTGAATCTCTTCTGAAGCAAATTGGCTACTGAAGCTTTTCATAGCCCTACTAACCAAGTCATCTAGTCCATCCCCCTGCTCAAAGCAGGACCATCTCCATCTAGATCATCCCAGCCAAGGCTTTGTTTATCCAAGTCTTAAAATGCTTCAAGGATGGAGATTCAATAAGCTCTCTGGGTAACCCGTTCCAATGCTTTATTATCCTTCTAGTGAGGAACCTTTTCTTAATATCTAACCTAAACTTTCCTTGTTGCAACTTGAAATAATTACTCCTTATTCTGTCATCTGCCACTACTGAAATCAGTCTTGCTCCATCCTCTTTGTAACTGCCCTTCAAGTAGTTTAAGGCTGCTATTAAATCCCTCCTCAGTCTTCTCCCCTCCAGACTAAATAAATCCAGTTCCCTCAGCCTCTCCTCATAAATCAGGTGCCCCAGTCCTCTAACCATTTTTGTTACCCTCCACTTGACACTCTCCAATTTGTCCACATCCCTTCTGTAGTGGGGATGACATAATAATGAACTGAAGATGTGCTACTTGTAGACAAATGTGCCAATACTTAATCAACTTAGGAGCTTAAACCAAAATTGAAGTTCCTATAGTAAGCTTAACACACTTTCATTGCACTTGTATTAAAGTATATATTTTTAAAAAGTAGCACCAGTGATTGAGATTGCTTTGTACAATAATGTAAAGTAAGCATTGCTTTGAGAACTCTCCTATTTCAATTTTCATATTCTGACTAAAGTGAAGTGAAGCAAAGGCTTATTTCAATGTAATCAGACTTACTTTAAACTAAAATGTAAATAGGAATACAGCTGTGTTTTCCAATATTCAAGCAGATGTCAGTAAGACTCTCAGTTCACTGTCAACATGCGCATACAAGATGCGCACTAACACATCTGGAGCCTTTCAACTCTCAATAATCACTGATTCATGCACTGTCTATTTACATCAGCTGTACTTTGACAGCACTACTTTATCTAGAATGGAGAAAGCTTTTATTTCAGGAAGAAAATAGAATGTTTTGAATAATGTCTATCTTTTTCAAGTATTGGGGAAAAAAATCTTAAAAATTAACAGAGATCTCATTGTTCAATGGAAGGACAAGGGAAGCATCCCATGCATAAGGGAAGCTTGAGTTCTAAAACAAAGACAGTTTGAGGTTAATTTAGAAGAGACTAAAGAGTTGGGGGGTTTTTAAAGCAGAAAATTCAGAATTCAAAAATGGCTATACTAAGTATTCCAACATTCTACTCCACCTATGAGTGGAGATCAAGCATTAGATGGTTTAGTGCAAAAGGTGATTTTGAATGGGATTTAGAATGGTTATTATTGTTTGGGAATGTCATTCTGAACTATACTGCTAGTATGATTGCTATGACAATTTAATGCATCAGTGAGTTGCAGTGTCCAGTCAAATGAGAACCTCCCCACAATCCCTGCATGAACTGTCATGGAGATAAATTCTGTATCCTAGACACACAGTCAGCTTCCTGATACACACTAGGAAGAATTTGGTTCAGATATGGAAAGGAACTATGAAGCGAAGTTAAATTAATAAATCTTTGTCTGCATTAAAAAGGTATTTCCTTATTTTCAAAGAATGGGCCCTTATTTATCCTTATTTATTTTTTAGCAATTCCCTTTGGTATAATGGCAAAAACAAATTGGCTTAGAACATTTAATGATAATTGAGCTAAAATGGTGTCTAAAAATAAAAATATATGAATTTTTAAAAAGAAAATTCATGAGAAGTTTCTATTGGATGAGTAAAGCTATATTGATTTAGTTTAGTGGGGTTCTGACATGTCAAGATAATAACACTTAAATCATACTTTTGTAAATTAACACTTCAGTTAGAGCATGGTAATGATACTGCATGTATCATCAATTTGCATCAAGTACCCTTAAAAATCTTCCCACCTTCTCCCATATAATACTTTTCATGATACTGTAGTAGTTGCTATACTTCATTTCAATTGTCACACTGGACACCACCACAAAATAAAGAGTTACTTTAGTTACTGAAGGCAACTAGAATGGAGTGGAGTGGCAAGTATCTGACCTAATTCATAAAATCTAACTGTTTGGTTAATGAAATGTGCATTAAGTGAACATTCTCTACTGTACTAAAGCAAGTTGGGTAACAGATTCACCTTTTGTTAGCTTGTTGATTACTTTAATTTTTTTCTTTTTAGTGGTTGAAACCTGTAGCGTAACTGGGAGAAGGGGGTGTCATCTGGGCACAACACGGCCACAACCACACCAGCAGCTGATTGTGTCACAGCAAAAGGCAGTGCTGCCCTGGGCATCATGCAGCTGCCACACATGCAGAGCTCCCTGGCTATACCTTTGGTTGAAGCAGCTCCCTTTCTTCTAAGTTGCCACTGCTTTACTTTGTACCACTCAGGTTGGCAACATGTCCTGCATTCAGATGCCTGGGTAAATGGTTTTGATAAATGGTTTTCAGATAATTGACACTCGATGGTATTTAATAAGAAGCACTGTGATGTTATGAAAGTCTTTCCATGAGTAGAGCAAGAAGGAAAATTAAAAGGACTAAAAAGCATGTCAGCTTAGTGTAGGTTTGATATACTTTTAATCCAGCTAGTCCTACAGTGACTCAAATAGCTTGGCAAAAACTCTTATATGAGCATTCCTAAAGAAAAATGTAAAATTAAAAAATGTCCCTGCTCATTCAAAGCATGTGTATGTGTCACATTATAAGGCTGCTCAAAACACAACTTACGTGTTTTATCTTTGAATCAAAGGTACACCTGCTGGAACTGGATCTGAACATTAGGTGCTTCACAATTTGTTTGCAGGCTTCAGTTTTCCCAGAACCACTTTCTCCACTGCAGAAAGATCAGGGAGGTTGGAGAGAGAGAGAGAGAGAGAGAGAGAGAGAGAGAGAGAGAGAGAGAGAGAAAATCCCACTGTTTAAATGTCATATCTGATATTTTATTCACAACCTCTGGTACCCCTAATTCCAGAAAAAGATCTGTTCATAATAATGGATGCTAATATAGCTATTAAATAAGGATAATTATGCATGTTAAATAAAAATAAGCCAATATAAAAAGTGGCTTTTTATCAGCACTGACAGATAGAAACATGGCTTTCTCCTTGTCCCTCAGAATAGCACAAAGCCAATCAAAAGCTAATGCTCTCAGCCCTTCTTTCGTGTCTCAATACCTTTATATTTTAGTAAGTCCAACAAAGTGGTCAAACCTACTCCAAGCTGTCTGAAACTAAATACAGATCATAATCTGAATCTGCTGCCTTTTAGTAAGCACTTCATAAGGTTTTCCACCAACCAGTGGGAATGAGGATAATGGGGACTACAGGTGACGTGTCTAAACCTGTTGAGATTTATTGAGATTTGAATAAAACGTCAACTGTTTGTGAAAACTGAAGTAGAAAAGGCATTAAACACTTTAGCTTTCTCTGAATCATTTGCAATACTTCTTTGTAATAGTCTTATCTGAATTGTCTGTCAAATTTTTAAAAGGATACATGAAGGTCACTTAGAAGACTGAGACAATCTAAATCCCAAGATTGCCATTTTTAGAAGAACTTGGAAGTCCCAAGGTTGCCATTTTGCAAAAAATACATACATACATTTCTTACTAGTTCAAAATACAGATCCTCTTTTTCAGAGAAAAGCAATTAGGTTCTATGTTATGACCATACAGGTTATCAATCAGACTATGAACATTGGCTCTCCAGTCTTTTTAAATGGTGGAGGAAACTAGTGATTAAAAAGGTCTTCAGATGTTCTTTGAAGCCGAAGTTCCAAGTCAAGTGAAGAAGAGTGGCATGTGTTGACACTTCCGAGAATCAGACCCAGGTATCTTCCAAACTTTTCCCAAATCCTGTTTTAGGGTTTAATATCTGTCAGCCAAATTTTCCCATGATAAAACAGATGTTTGAAAAAGCCCTAACATTAGAATGTGATTATCTAATGGTTTTTATTTAGTTTGCTTAACCCCACAGTTCATTTCCTTGTAGTGGTAAAGAATAACTTTCCAGCATTGTTGTTTTTTCTTTTTTTCCATCAAATCTTTGCTACAAATTGGAGAATTAGAAAAAATGTTTGAGTGTAGCTAATACAAATTCTTGTTGTAACTTTCACTTTTTACAAAAGATCTATTAAAAGTCTCTAGGCCCATCTCAGAATTAGCATAATGAAGACTTTCAAAGTATATAGATGTTTTACTTTTTGGGTCAAAAACTGATCAAAGAGATACATCCTAAACTGTGTCCCAGAAGATGAACAAACCAAGGCTTCGATGAATTAACCAGCTGATTCACTTCCATAAATGTATGAACACAACAGGAAGAAGTGAGGGTAAGAAGGAATATTGGTCCTGAATTCTTTCTTGTCATGCAATAATCATGCCAGATATCAGTAAAGTAAAAGAAAGGAGTCTCTGTATTTCACTGTTTTTAGAAAATGATCCTTGGAAGGAGAGTAAGAGTGAGGACATGTAGATGGAGTAATGGAAGATGGAAAAATTTACCCAAATTTTACTCCTCTCTTCAGCTTGTTGTCTATAATAGACACTACTATAGTGACTAACCACTACAACCATAAAAACATAAGAATCACCATTTACTGGGTCAGACCATTGGTTTATCTTGCCTAGTATCCTGTGTCACATAGTGCCAGAGAGTAGATGCTGAAAGGGAGAGTAAACTGGGTATAACCAGGTTTTTTCCCACTGTTCTTCTTTCACTTGTAGCCTCCAGCATTTAAAGTCTAGGAAGTTTTGATTCAGAGGCTGTATCCTTAACCCCCATGCTCACTAGCAACTGATGCCCTTTTCCTCTAAGAATCTGTCCAATCCATTTTTTAATGTGGCTAAACTCTCAGCTTCCACAACATCTGGTATCAATCAATTTCACAGTTTAATCATATGCTGTATGAAAAATAAATTCCTTTTGTTAGTTTTAAACTTACTACTTAATAGTTGAATTTTGTGACCCCTAGTTCTTGTATTGTAAGAGACTGAAAATAATAGATCCCTATTTATTTTGCCCTTGCTATTTAGTATTTTGTAAATGCTTATCATGTTCCCCTTCAATCATCTCTTTTTTAAACTGAATAGGCTTAGCCTCTTTAGTCTCTCCTCATATGGAAGCCCCTCCATACCACTAATCATCCTAGTTGCCCTTCTCTGTACCTTCTCTAGTTCTTCTATATCCTTTCTGAGGTGCAGGGACCAGAGCTGGGCACAGTGTTCAATGTGTGGACACAGCATGGATTAATAAAGGAGCATAATGATACTTTCCAGTTTGTTTACATTTCTCTTCTTAATAATCCTTACCATTTGCTTTGCCTTTTGATGGCTGCTGAGGCCTCCACAGTAAGTGGTGAGACTTATGTTCTTATGGTCTTATTACTTTACTAATATCTGGCATGATTCTTGCATGAAAAGAAAGCATTCAGAACCAATATTCCTCACTTCTTCCTGTTGATTTATGGAAGTGAACGTACAATCGTATGAATGTTGACTTCTTTAGTGAACTGTCCACAATGACTCCCAGATCTCTTCCCTACGTAGTGACAGCTGATGTAGAGCCCATCTTAGTGTAGGTATAATTGGGGTTATTTTGCAAATCTGCTTTGTGGTTACACATTACACTTAGACCATACTAAGGGCACTTAAAATGTGAGTGACCATTGCATTAACTTGTGCTAAGTGCCCTCTAAGCATCTCAAAGATAAGCCCTTCAAATGAGCGTTAACTTTTGGCCATGCTACCTAGCCCATATTAGGGTAACTTTAGCAAATGAGTTATTATGTTAGTGTAACTTCAGTCCTTCAGCATCTGTGGATACACTGCTTACAGTCCCACCCTTCCCACATCCCTCCCAAGCAGGGGTAGAGTCTAGGTGTCCTGGCTCCTGCTTGCTAGCCCTCTAGTGGGAAATCAGAGCTACACAGGCAAGAAATGACATCAACTCTTAATGTGTAACTGCTCACAGCACCTTCTAACTTTAACATTGCTTAACATTCTACAGATTTAGTATAGTCCAAGTGTAATGTGTGTAACTTCATCCTTAATGTATGTAACTTCACACTTAAGTGGGAGGGTAGCCAACCTGCATTGGAGCAAATGGATAGACCAGGATGAAGGCAACTAGGATAGTAGACACAAAACCATCATACTACGCAGTTTGTGAGAAAGAGAAGTGGGATTTTTTTTTTAATCAGGGAAAACCAGAATCCCTCCTAATCATCACCCCTCCATCAGACTATTTCTTGACTACTCCAGCACTAATATTTCCTTTTTAGGCATAAGGATCACTATCCAGAAGGGGAAAATATAGACCACCATATACAAGAAACCCACAGACCAACATGTATATCTGCACAGAACCAGCAATCACCCTAAACACACCAAGAAAACTGTAATATACAGCCAAGCCCTCCAATAACACTGCATTTGCATGGAGGAGAACACCCACCAAATCTCAAAAGGGCTTTCACTCAACAAGGACACTGCTCCAGAGAGATAAATCACACTTTTGAAAGAGCCACCCGGATACCATGTGAAGAACTGCTACCGTACTGAAGGAAAACACCTCATGAATCACACACCACTGGTTATGATATATCATCCCTCTCTGGAACCTATACAGAAAATCCTCAAACAATTGAAACCAATACCAGAAGACAAAATTCTTAAAGAGATATTCGCGGAATATCTCTTTAACAGACCATCCCTAAAATCATCAAACCCTCTGACTACTACCCACTGGTTGTGGTCCATGTGGGTAAAATGATGCATCCAAGGGCAAGCCGGATAACATCATGGAGGACTACAGGGCCTTGGAACACCAACCAAAGAAGATGGGAGCCCAGGTGGTGCACTCTATGTCAAAGAGCACCTCACATCATCAAGGATCAGCTTCAGGGTAGAGGAGGGTTGGGCAGAGACACTATGGGTCAAACTACAAGGGGGGCATGGCAAAAGGGACCTTACACTGGGCATCTATTACAGACCACCTAACCACAGGGAAGAGCTTGACCAGGACTTCTCCAGTCAGCTTATGGAGGCAGTTAGGTCAAGGGATGTTATTGTCATGGGTGACCTAAACTACCCAGACATTTGCTGGGAGGAGCAGACAGCGAGGTCTGACCGCTCGCGTAGGTTCCTGGCTGTATTACAGGACCTTCACCTTACCCAGGAAGTGCACAGCCCACTAAGGGTAACGCCTTGCTGGACCTGGTCCTGGCCACGGGGGATGAC